GGAACGACGGATCAGCTTTTTACTCTCGCAAGGATCCTGGAGGGAGCCTGGGAGTACGCTTATCCGGTCTACATGTGTTTTGTAGACTTGGAGAAGGCGTATGACCGAGTTCCCAGGGAGTTACTGTGGGAGGTGCTGCAGGAGCATGTATTTTATTTTACCTTCGTCGTCGTCGCACAATTCACAGGCCACTGAATCCGCCGCTAAAGTGCTGGAGAATGAGGGTCTGTGGCCGAGCAGGGCATCCAATCGATCATATCATTTACAGGTCTTCTGGCCTTTACCACTCTTGTTATTATGGTGTATTCTTTTTTTTGTAGTCCTGCTTTAGTGTCTTTATTTTGTCCCGCCGGCATGAGTTTGCGCTGTGGAAGATTCCCATGTCGGCTAACTTTACCGAACAACGCTCATATATTTTGCTGTTGGAAAACTGCCTTCAGTCGAAGCTGCTGGAACCCACCCTCCGAGTAAATCGCCAGAAGCGCCGACACATTCTCATCACTCCACCGCTCCGATGATTTTCTTATTCTTATTGTTGCCATAATAACTGCTTTCACAAAAGTACTCTCTCCGTTGGTGCGCTGGGCTAATAATGCGAGCAAATAAAATGGCGGCTTCACAAAACTTTTTGGGACTTTTACGGGGCGTGGTTTGCATTCCACCCAGCCAATTAGACGTATGAACTTTTTTCTCCCACAAAAGTACCTGCTCTCTAGCTGGGACGGAAAACGGGGTAAAAAAAGGTTCTGATTAACTAATTTTAGTTCCGTCTCTTTTTGGTGTGAACGCGACATTTCGGAACTATCGCGGAACTAAAGTGGGAAAAGTACTGTGGTGTGAACGCACCTCTTCTCCCCCTCGTCCCCCCTCATCCTCTACCCCCCTCGTCCCCCCATTGCATCCTTCTTATCGGATCTGCAAAAACTAGATATCATATGAGAGCTGTGATTCATCACTGGGCGACCAAAACTCAGGCAGTTTAGGCGAAACCAGACAACACTAGGGCTGTGCAATTTAATCGATCCTGCGATATATATCGATATTTAGTTTTCCGAGAAAGTATCGATATTTCAGCCGCGGGTATCGATACATTAAGTCTGATAACTGTGTTCGTTATTGTCGCGTCCAGGAGAGAAGCTTTAAAAAGGAGACCAATGGAGTCTCTGAGAAGGTTCAAATGTATACTTTAATTAATAAAAAGCGCGGTAATGTTACAAGCAGAAGATGGTTCAGTCAGAAAAACAGCTGTGTTCTGGCTCTCGAGCGAAGGGAAGAGAGCGAGCTCCACCTTTCCAGCTGTTAAATATCCTCTGCTGGCTCCTCCCTGTGGGCCGGTTGGCGCTGCTGGGGGCCGGCCCTCCACGTCTCCAATGTTCGTTGTTGCGCATTACAGAGGATTCAGACATTGTACATTAAATATATAACTAAACACGCATTTTCTCCTCCTTATCTCTTTCATGACTTTTCATTTAATACATTTTAAACGCTGTAATCAATACTCCAAAAATACCTCACGGCTGGTATCATTTCCGGTAGTTTCCGGATGTTGTCTCATGCTACCCACGTCTGTAAACAAACGTATTCAAATAAACTGTACCTTCATTTAATATTCAGCAATAATAATATCTCGACGTCTATAGTTGTAGTGTTGAAATCAGTAGGTTTCGGTGTGCAACACTCCGTGTCATATCGCTACTAAATTCACCTCTATAGTAAATGATATATTAGCCACATGCTAAATGCTAACCGGAGATGAAGGATTTTCAGAATAAAAGCTTGACAACTGGTTGTGCACAAGAACTTCTGGTTTTTCAGTATAAAACAGCATTTAAACTGATGGTATGTTTAAGGTACTTTATGCCATCAAAACATTGATTTTAATTTCGAACAAGTCCCATTCAAATCCCCCGTGTTCCGCCACCTGCTGCACCTTTTAATTCTCCATTGTGATACTGCACTTTATGTACTTACGTTTCAAAGGATTGTAAGCTACAGTTTGCACTGTTTCAATAAATGAAACTAATTTTCTCACCACATCTTTTGATTCATTTTGTCCAGCATTTACAAGCTGTACACTCTCTGTCAGAGCCATATATTGTATAATTGATGCTTTCAGTTTTCAGTTGAATTAATTCAATCCAAGTCAATGGAACACTCAAGATGTCACCGAAATCACACTGTCCCTTTAAAATCTTTCAGAAAATGATATAAGTGTATCGAATCGTATCGTTGGCTGAATATCGTGATATATATCGTATTGTGAGCTGAATATCGTGTATCGTATCGTATCGTGAGATTAGTGTATCGCTACAGCCCTAGACAACACACAACTTCACTTTACGGAGCCAAACTTCCGAACCTCCCCTCGATTCTATTGGCTCTAATGGTTCAAAAGAGATGTCAATTATCAACATCGACCGAGGGGGGCCAGAGATAGGGAAAATCCACCCAAATGACCCCAGAAGTGTTTTTTTTGTTGCTAAACCTCTCTTAAAATGGTCAAATGTCACTTATTTGGCATCAATCTTGATACAGGGTACTTATATGATATAGCTTGGATTTCTAAAGCTTTTAGTACCATCCCATCATTCACGGGTGGTTTTCACTATAATGTTTTATTTTTGGACGGACATTATCATTTACATTTTTTTTTAGCCATGTAAAACTTTAGTTTTAATTATATAACCCAATATGGAAACCTCCTCAGTCTCTGGTTGTACATTGTGCCAGTTCTGGTCATCCACAGTCCTCTCTTTACTTGGACCAAATATTTTTTTATCACAACATTCAAGTTATCACATTATATACGATGTGTGACGGGGTTCTATTTGTTCGTTTGAAACATAGGCTTAGCCGGTTGATTTAAGCTCCAAAACTTTATTTATAACAGCAACAAAAAAAATATATACTGTTTGATAAAAGTGAAACATTATAACTTAAATAAACAAAATCAAAGTTAACAAATAGGGTTGTCTATCACTCATGGAGTAAACACATTCTCGCTGTTGCCTTCACTGCAACAATCTCCCGAACACATTATCCTCCGCCTCCCCGAGGTTGGCGATGTGCGGCAACCTGGAAAGGTAATCAGCCACTACATTCGATTTGCCAGATCGGTGACGGATAATGAATTTGAACGGTTGGAGTGAGAGGTACCAATGGGTAGGACGGCTGTTGTGATCTTTCATGGCCCCTTAGTGCCACCCTCACACAGACTATTATCTAAGTCTGGGAGTGGTTGGACTCCAGCTTTCGCTTGGGCTCTAGTTATCATTGGGCCAGAAACATTAACATTCCCATTTCCCCCAGAGTCAGTTTTCACAGAGAGTTCTTTTTCATGCAGCAAATCCAAGAGTACTGGTAAATCGCATCCCAGGATTGCATCAATCGGCAAGTTCTGTACCACCCCCACACTCAACAAGTACGATTGTCCATCAATGATCACGGATAGGTCCGCTTTGGGATAGGGATGCTTATCCCCGTGAACACACAAAATGTCTGTTTGTCTGCTGTAGTCCATAGCTCCAATTGGCACAAGTCTTTGCTTCACTAGAGACATGAAGCTACCAGTATCCAACAAAGCAGTGACCTGCTGGCCATTAACAGTGACAGCTGTATGACGTTGAACACGTTCCTCTTGATCCCCAATGAGCCCCAACTCTGCCCGGGGTGCATAGCAAGCGCCTGTGACCTTAGCTTTGCGTAGGGGACACACAGAAGCTATGTGGCCTGGCTGCTGGCAGTAATAGCAAATTAAATCCTTACCTTACCTTGTTGGTTTGGGGCAGTGCTAAGATATCCTGAGAACTCTGGTCGATTCTCTCTCTTTGCAGGCCTGGGCTGGTGTGCTGGTTGGTGTGTAAAAGTGGTTGCGCGTGCAGGAGGTGGTCCTCCTCTGCGGGCGTTGATGTACTGGAGCGCCAGCTTGGCAGCCACAAGACAGTCTGTAGACTCATGCTCCTTCACCCAGGTCCTCACCTCCGGTGGGAGTATCCGAAGCATCTGCTCCAAGATGATGGCCTCTGCAATTTCCTCCTTGTTGTGACGCTCTGGCCGAATCCACCGCCGGTAGAGACCTTTAATGCGATGGTAGGTCTCGATGGGGCTCTCTTCAGACGGTACCACCATGGACCGGTACTGCTGCCAATACGTCTCTGGGGAGATGTCGAATTTTGTCAGCAACGCTTCTCTCAGGTCTCTATAGCAGTGGGCTCTCGCCTCGTCCATTGCAGTATAGGCCTCCAATGCCTTCCCTGATAGCAGTGGAACGAGCCGGCATGTCCATTCCCTTTCTGGCCACCTCCACGTTTTGGCAATGCGCTCAAACAGCAATAAATAGTTCTCAATGTTCTCACCGCACTGGTACTATGGAATTTGTGGCTCCACATATAGCCTCGACTCAGGCGTTGGCTGATCAGGCTGGCTATCGGAGTCTGATTGAGGAAAAGGTTTACCAACTGGAACAGAAGTCCGTAGGTCTCAGAGCTCTGCCAACAGGAACTCCTCTCGCCTTTGCTGCCCTGATAGAAAGTATTTCATCAGTGACAGTAGTTCTCCCCCTGGTTAACTGGTTGACCCTGAGGCCATAGGAGCTGCTGGGGGCATCCAGGACCTGTCTTAATCATCGTCCTCTGTCTCCCATGCCCGCTCTGATTTGCCAGTTGCGTTCTTCTCCTGCTGCTGACGCTGGGAACGTAGTCCTGTGCGGTGCTTCGTAACGCGGATTAGCTTTTTCCGATTAGCCATCCCACTTCTGACACCATATGTGACGGGGTTCTATTTGTCCTTTGAAACATAGGCTTAGTCGGTTGATTTAAGCTCCAAAACTTTATTTATAACAGCAACAAAAAAAAGATATACTGTTTGATAAAAGTGAACAGGTATAACTTAAATAAACAAAATCAAAGTTACCAAATAGGGTTGTCTATCACTCATGGAGTAAACACGAACACCCAACTCTGCTCATTGCCCAAAGAGTTTAAACCTAACTGTCACTGTCATCAGTGTCAGGTTCAGAAGAGTCTCCAAGGTTGTCCTCAGTCTCTGGTTGCAAATGTCTCACTGTAAAATATTTTTCACAGATGAGGTGAATGGTTTCTCTCGTGGGTGTTTTACATTTCCTCTCCGTCTAACTATTTTCTCACACAAAGAGCAGCCAAATGGGTTCTCTCCTAATCTACATCTTGAATCACTGACAGAGTCTTGTTTATTTTTCTGAGAGTTTGAACCTGGTTCTCCGGTCTTCTTCCAATCAGCCCTGTCTCCAGTGTCAGGTTCTGAAGAGTCTCCATGGTTGTCCTCAGTCTCTGGTTGTAAATGTCTCTCTGGATCTGAGTTCCTAGCTGGTTCTGGTCCTCCACAGTCCTCTCCATCAGCTTCTGTTTCCATGTGTTCAGCTGAGCTGCTGGCTGGAGGCTCTGCCTCTCTGTTCTCATCAGTCTGAGTTTGATGAAGCTGTGAGGACTGACGACCAACACACGTATGGCTTTTGACCTGATGACTCTGTGTGAATCTTTTTTCACAGACACTGCAGCTGAATGGTTTCTCTCCTGTGTGGATTCTAATGTGGCCCTTTAATGCTGAACTCTGTGCAAAAGATCTCTTACAGACTGAGCAGCCGAATGGTTTCTCTCCTGTGTGGATTCTCATGTGGGCCTTTAAATGTCCTCTCTGTTTAAAAGATTTCTTACAGACTGCACGGCCAAATGTTTTCGCTCCTGCACTACGTCCTGAATCACTGACAGGGTCTTGTGTAGTACTATGAGAGTTTGAACCTGGTTCTCTGGTCTCCTTCCAATCTCCGCTGTCTTCAGTGTCAGGTTCAGAAGAGTCTCCAGGGTTGTCTTCAGTCTCTGGTTGTAAATGTCTGTCTGGATCTGAGTTCCTGGCTGGTTCTGGTCCTCCACAGTCCTCTCCATCAGCTTCTGTTTCCATGTGTTCAGCTGAGCTGCTGGCTGGAGGCTCTAACTCCCTGTTCTCCTCAGTTTGAGTTTGATGAAGCCGTGAGGACTGACGACCAACACACTTATGTCTTTTGACGTTATGGCTGTGTGTGAATCTTTTGTCACAAACACTGCAGTTGAATGGTTTCTCTCCTGTGTGGATTCTAATGTGGCCCTTTAAATCTCCTCTCTGTGCAAAAGATTTCTCACAGACTGAGCAGCTGAATTGTTTCTCTCCTGTGTGGATTCTCATATGGGCCATTAAATGTCCTCTCTGTTTAAAAGATTTCATACAGACTGAGCAGCTGAATGGTTTCTCTCCTGTGTGGATTCTCATGTGGGTCTTTAAATGTCCTCTCCGATTAAAAGATTTCTTACAGACTGAGCAGCCAAATGTTTTCTCTCCTGCACTACGTCTTGAATAACTGACAGGGTCTTGTTTATTTCTCTGAGAGTTTGAACCTGGTTCTCTGGTCTCCTTCCAATCAGCACTGTCTCCAGTGTCAGGTTCAGAAGAGTCTCCAGGGTTGTCCTCAGTCTCTGGTTGTAAATGTCTCTCTGGATCTGAGCTCCTTGCTGGTTCTGGTCCTCCACAGTCCTCTCCATCAGCTTTTGTTTCCAGGTGTTCAGTTTGTCTTTGATGAAGCTGAGAGGACTGAGGTTTCTCTTCATCATCTTCACTCTTCACAGGGTCAGGAGTGAATGTGGACTTGGTGATATCAGCCTCCTCCAGCACTTGAAGCTGCTCTCCCTCCTGACTGCTCCAGAGTTCCTCCTCTTCCTCTTTGATGTGTGGGGGGGGCTCTGGGTCCTCCTGGTTCGGCATATGCTGGTTTTGATTTCCACCTTCTGTAAACAATTCCTCTCCCTGGTGATTGCTGTTAAATGTTTCACCACTGTGAACAAATGTATGTTTCAAAAAGCTTAAATCATCGTCTTCTCTGTCTTCAGTGTCAGGTTCTGAAGAGTCTCCAGTCTCAGGTTCAGAAGAGTCTCCAGGATTGTCCTTAGTCTCTGGTTGTAAATGTCTCTCTGGATCTGAGTTCCTAGCTGGTTCTGGTCCTCCACAGTCCTCTCCATCAGCTTCTGTTTCCATGTGTTCAGCTGAGCTGCTGGCTGGAGGCTCTGCCTCTCTGTTCTCCTCAGTTTGAGTTTGATGAAGCTGTGAGGACTGACGACCAACACACTTATGTATTTTGACCTGATGACTGCGTGTGAATCTGTTGTCACAAACACTGCAGCTGAATGGTTTCTCTCCTGTGTGGATTCTCATGTGGCCCTTTAATGCATCTCTCTGTACAAAATATTTCTTACAGACTGAGCAGCTGAATGGTTTCTCTCCTGCACTACGTCCTGAATCACTGACAGGGTCTTGTTTATTTCTCTGAGAGTTTGAACCTGGTTCTCTGGTCTCCTTCCAATCAACACTGTCTTCAGTGTCAGGTTCAGAAGAGTCTTCAGTCTCAGGTTCTGAAGAGTCTCCAGGGTTGTCCTCAGTCTCTGGTTGTAAATGTCTCTCTGGATCTGAGTTCCAGGCTGGTTCTGGTCCTCCACAGTCCTCTCCATCAGCTTCTGTTTCCAGGTGTTCAGTTTGAGTTTGATGAAGCTGAGAGGACTGAGGTTTCTCTTCATCATCTTCACTCTTCACAGGGACAGGAGTGAATGTGGACTTGGTGATATCAGCCTCCTCCAGCCCTTGAAGCTGCTCTCCCTCCTGACTTATCCAGTGTTCCTCCTGTTCCTCTTTGATGTGTGGGGGGGGGCTCTGGGTCCTCCTGGTCCAGACTGGAGCTCCACTCCTGCTGCTCAGGGGGAACCTCTTCTTCAACCACCACCAGCTGCTGGACGTCTGCAGGAAACAGGAAACACATATTCATCAGAATCGGTTATATTTACCAAGTAGGTTTACACAGGAATTTGCTTTAGTATATATGTGGTGCATACAAAGAAACAGAAAGAAGCATCTTAGACAAACTAAATAAAATACAAATAGGAATGTTAGGACAGCTATTTAAAAAAAAACTATTTAAAAAACTACTATAACCAATTAACAATATTTACATGTGACAAATACTATACACTTTATTCAAAGTGGAGAACTGTGCTGATTTAAAAGAGGAAGTGTGCAGAACAGATGTGCAGCATGTGCAGGATTTACAATTGTCAAAAGAACAAGGTGTTCTTGACATGATGACTTTAAAAAAGGTCCCATGTCATGGCCATTTCTACTGATCATAATTCCATTGTTGAGGTCGACTAGGATAGATTTACATTGTTCAATGTTCCAAACTCACATTGGTTCCTCAAACAGCATGTCTGTATAGTTTGTGTATTCACTCTGTCCTACACGCCTTGTTGGAGCTCCTGCGGAGTATTGCGGCTGAGAAGAGATAAGGCTGGATGAGTGTGTGTGTGTGAGTGAGGATCAATCCGCGGAGCTGTTACGTCAGTATACCCAATACGTCAGTATACCCAATACGTCAGTATACCCAAGAAGAAGAAAAATGGAAAAAGATAAATCTCCAACGAGGCATTCTGGGGGCAGCACAGACAGGTCTTTTCTGTTTTAGAGTTTTACTCGCTACAGGGTGTACTTTGAGGGTTGTGACTCTGCAGACCATTTAAATGCAGAAAAAACCTTCATAACACAAGGGGCCGGGTATAACCAGAAAAGCATGACATGGGACCTTTAAAGTAATGTTATTAGGGGCTGGATAAAAGTCACTGGAAGAGGACAGACTCCACAGCAGTGGCTGGGGAGTCACACAGAGTGATGTGGGCGGGTTGGGCTGCGTTCTTCCTGAAGTCCAAAACCAGCTCACTGTCTTGAGAGCGTTGAGCTCCAGGTTACAAGATCATCATGTGCTCAGCAGCTACAGTTTAGATATGGTAATGAAAAACTGAAGTCCTCCTCCAACAGGGCAACATGAATATATATAGGACATAAACAAATAAAACGGATGAAATAGTGCAAGAGAATGTTTTGAGATGTGCAAGTAATACAAATGAAATAGAAAATAGTGCAATAATAATAATAGCTTGGATTTATAAAGCGCCTTTCATGAGAGCCAAGGTTACAAAGAAGAGCAGGGAAAAAACAAAAGGCAGACAGAACAACAAATAGATTAGGGCCAAGGGCCTTAGCAAACAGACGGGTCTTGAGGGCCCTTTGAAGGCGTCAAGCGTGGGGATGTTGCAAATCTCCACAGGGAGAGCGTTCCAGAGGGGGGGGGGGGGCTGCCACACTGAAGGCTCTGTCCCCCAAGGTTCGCAGTTTGGTGCGGGGGGTGGTAAGCAGGCCGGAGTCTGAAGACCGCAGGTTCCGGGGTGGGGCATGTGGGCGAAGGATGTCCGATAGGTACTGGGGGGGCATGGAGCAGAGGTCGCGTTAACCGAATATTTTCCGTCTATGACGGATTTTTTTTAACAATGACGGACAAATCTGAAAGCAGTCCGTCATTTTGACAGATTAGAACAAACTCGGAACAGCGCCAAAGTTTCCCCGCAGCAACGCTCCGGTGTTATGCCGTGTTATGCATGCCCTCCAAAAAGGAAATCATACCGTTTCCAAACCCAACTGTGCCGTACAAATCATTGAAATGTCTGAGTTTTGGCTTTACGCTGTGCACGCTCCCGCGAGGTGCAGCAGCCATGCATAACACGGCGCACCCCCGTTGACAGTTCACGAGCATGCTCCCCCCCCCCTCGTCAGAGTTGTGTAAAGGCCGGACGGGTATTCTGGATTTTGACGGAAGTTTTACGATCCTGTCCGTCAAAATGACGGGCAGCGAAAAAGTCTAGCGCAACCTCTGGCATGGAGGGACTTGTAGGTGAGGAGGACTTGTATGTTATGCGGGACTTGACCGGCAGCCAGTGGAAGTGGATGAGGGTGGGGAGTGATGTGCTGCTACGGCTTTGTATGTGAAGAGTACCCTAGCAGAACAGTTTTGAACATACTGGAACCTATACTGCAAACAGGACACCATTGCAGTAGTCAAGAAGAGTCTATATACAAGTAAATAGAATATGATGTATAGATAAATAAAGGCCGGGCCTTGCCACGGAGCCCGGCCGGGCACAGCCCGAAAAGGCAACATGGGCAACACCTCCGCTTCTTCTCCGTCCCGCGGGCCCACCACCTACGGGAAACAGCGATGGGGTCGGGTGCGCTGCCAGAAGGCTGGCAGTGAAAGCAGAGGGTCTCGACGGACCAGACCCGGGCGACAGAAGCTGGCTTTGGGAACGTGGAACGTCACCTCTCTCGGGGGGGGAAGGAGCCGGAGCTTGTGCGGGAGGTGGAGCTGTTGGGCTCACCTCTACGCACAGCGTCGGCTCTGGAACCTTACTTCTGGATAGGGGTTGGACTCTATTCTTCTCAAGTTGCTCAAGGTGTGAGGCGCCGGGCGGGTGTGGGGGATACTCACAAGTCCCGGTTGGGTGCTTCGTTGTTGGAGTTTACCAATCATCTACACTCCATCAGCTGATGATTTCTATTCGCCTTTATGAGCTTCACATCAATGGGATAAGGTGAGAAGTTCAGTCATCCGGGAGGGACTCGGAGTAGAACCGCCCCTCCTTCGCGTCGAAAGGAGCCAGTTGAGGTGGTTCGGGCACCTAGTTAGGATGCCACCTGGGCGCCTCCCTAGGGAGGTGTTTCAGGCACGTCCAGCTGGGAAGAGACCAAGGGGTAGACCTAGGACCAGGTGGAGGGATTATATCTCTTCGCTGGCCTGGGAGCGCCTTGGGATCCCCCAGTCAGAGCTGGTTGATGTGGCCAGGGAAAGGAAAGTTTGGGGCTCTCTGCTGGAACTGCTACCCACGCGACCCCGACCCGACCGCCACGAATAAGCGGGAGAAGATGGATGGATGACCCCCTGCTCTAGAAGCTGGAAAAACGATAATGCGGTCTTTTATAAAAGTATTTTTATATAACGTATGTGGGAGAAGTGAGGAACTATCTTTACTTTACCTTACCTAGGACTTACCTTTACCCTGATTCTTGAAACTAAAGATAGCAATGGCATAGCTACCTAACTTCACTCCTTCCACCTTTGAATTCCATGCCGTCACAGTAACCCATCCTATACAATTAACCATTGTTGTTCTCTACCGTCCACCAGGCGCCTTGGGGGACTTCTTGGAGGAATTAGATCATCTCCTCTCACACATCCCAGAAACTGGCCCTCCCGCTGTACTTCTCGGAGACTTCAACCTCCAGACGGGGAAGATAGACGAACTAACATCTCTGTTAACCGCCTTTGCTTTCTCACTGTCTCCGTCCCCACCAACTCATAAAGCTGGCAATGTCCTTGATCTCATATTCTCAAGGAACTGCGCTACTTCTAACCTCTCTGTAAACCCGCTCCACACATCTGATCACTTCATTCTCTCTACCCCTTTCCAAACATAACAAACTAATCTCTTCTCATCCTGCACCTGTCCGCCGTAAGCTTCGTTCCCTCTCCCCCTCTACCTTTGCCTCATCGGTGCTCTCAGCCCTGCAGAAACTCTCCTCTCTACTCTCTCATCCTCTCTGAACTCTCTCTGGTCCTCTCACATCTCGGCAGGCTCGTCAGTTCCCCTCCTGCTCCCCTGGCTAAATGACGCACTGCGTGCTAATAGAACCGTCCTTAGGGCAGCAGAGCGGAAACCGGTGGAAATCCAAACACCATGACGACCCTCCTCACCTATCAGGCTCTCCTCTCCTCTTTCTCTGCTTCGATCTCTCGGGCAAAAAGCACTTTCAAGATAAGATCCAATCTTCATATTCCAATCCCAAAAATCTATTTTCCATCTTCTCCACCCTCTTGGACCCTCCCAAAGCCCTTCCCCCTCCTCCTTCTTGGAACCCCCTCCCTTCTGTCAAGCGACTTTGGTAACCACTTGGAAAAAGAAGAGCGAATATCATCACCCTTTTTTTTCTGACTCACCTATACTCACCGCTGGGGTCACCAGACCCTCCTTCCACCAACACACTGACCTCCTTTCCCCTTCTCTCTCCAAGTGAGGTTCTTACCCTCATTACTTCTGCCCGCCCTACCACCTGTCCTCTGGACCCCATTCCTTCAAACCTCCTTCAGACTATCGCTCCTGATATTCTACCCGTTTCTCTCACCCATTTCAATCAACACTTCTCTAACTTCTGGTCACTTTCCAAAACAGTCTCAAGGAGGCAAGAGTAAACCCTCTCCTAAAGAAACCCACTCTCAACCCGGTCTGATGTTATAAACTACAGGCCTGTCTCTCTCCTCCCGTTCCTGTCTAAATCACTTGAACGCGCTGTCTTTAAACAACTCTCCTGTTATCTCCATCAGAACAACCTTCTGGATCCGCACCAGTCTGGTTTCAAGGCAGGTCACTCCACAGAAACTGCCCTCCTTGCTGTCACTGAGGAACTGCACACTGCTAAAGCAGCCTCCCTCTCCTCTGTCATCATCCTGTTGGACCTGTCTGCTGCATTCGACACGGTGAATCATCAGATCCTCCTTCGCACTCTCCAAAAACTTGGAGTTTCAGGCTCTGCACTTTCCCTCCTCACCTCATACCTGAAAGACCGTACCTACAGGGTGACTTGGAGAGGGT